TGGATGTCGGGGGGGGGGGATCGTGAAAAGGACTGAGGATGACAAATTTGGGGGGTCAAGGGTCAAAGGTCAAGATGTGTATACGGAGGGGAATATTTTCCCCTTAACTTAAGGTATAGGAGGAAATACGGAATTGCGGCACAAATCTTAATGGCTTGACCTATGCTCTGAATATTCGGTGTATAGTGTGATGGGCAGGAAACCCATCACCAGTGCGAAATTAGAGGTCACAGGTCAAAGGTCAGTGGGGGAAAAGGTCAGATATCAGGCATTTTCTGAGGACATGGCCTAATGGACAGAGTGAAAAACTTTTTTGTTTCAGTGCTGACCTACCATTTTGATCACTTTATTGAAAGGACCATGAAATGTGCTTTCCACTGACGTGCGAAGAGTAAGTGTCTGATAACCTTTTGACCCACAAGAGGAGGGTTAAACATGGATTCCTGAACTGCCTCAATGATGTCACAGGGTTCTCATATTCATGGCACAGCCATAATCTAGAAAGCCAATAAGCCTGGATAGCCAAACACCTACAGCACAGGCGTCACGGCTCAAAGGTCATTGGATCGAATCCCATCAGATTTTTTATTATTTACCTGTTTTCTGTATTTTTCTATCTTTATCCATTTAACAATTTTTTCCCAATTAATGCAAATATTTACATGATATATTTACAATAATTTAATAACAACAAATAATTTTTACAACAATAAATGTATAAAAAAAAAATAGGGTTAGGGTTCAGGGTCGTGGTCGGCATATGTTTCCATGTTCCAAAGTATGGTCGTGACGTACACTGACGTCACGCACAAACTCGGCTATCTCCGAAGTTGAATGCATACAGCCTGCTGATGGTGCTGGTGGTTGCGTGCTATGCCCTACTCCCTAACCCTAACCCTAACCCTAACCCTAACCTTAATTAAATTTAATTAACACTAATAAATTTAATTTAATTAAAAAAAAATGTAATAAAAAATTGTAAATAAATCATGTAAATATTTGCGTTAATTGGAAAAAAATAGTTAAATCGATAAAGATAGAAAAAAAAACAGATGGGATTCGAACCAACGACCTTCAGAAGTAACGGCCGCCGGCGTACGAGCTCGGCTATTCAGCGTCATTGGAATAATATATTATGGATGTGCCATGCATACTGTACATGGATGTGCGTGCGTGATAGGTCTATGGTGGTGGATAGCCACTGACGTCACGACCATACTTTGGAACATGGAAACATATACCCACCTTAAGGGTCACAATGCACCATAAAACAGGAGTTTCAGGCATGCGATTTATATCAACCAATGGGATTTGGGAAGTATGCAGAATGCAGAAGGTTGCTGAAATGATGTGTACGCAACTGCGTATCTGCATATCTGCGCCTAACAAAGGTGTCACTACGCATGACTTAAATGTTACGTTTATAACCGTAGCAACAGACCTCAGATGAGCCCAGACGCGGCAGTCTGCGGCTCTTGTTTACTGTTTGGGATGGGATGGCATGGCATGGCATGGGATGGGATGGCGTGGGTTGGGATGCGGTGCGATGGAATGGCATGGGATGGCATGGCATGGGAAGCGATGAGATGGGATGGGATGGGATGGGATATGGGATGGGATGGCATGGCATGGAATGGGATGGATGGATGGATGCATGGATGGATGCATGGATAGACAGATAGTTAGATTTTTGGGGGTATTTTCCTCTCAACCAAGCGGTCACCAACTGAGTAATGCCACTGATTTTCCCGGGCAACGCCGGGTATCCCGCTAGTATAATATATATATATATATACATTTTATATTGCACCAGTTGATATCATGGTCAATAATGTGAAAGTAGTGTAAAGTCCTAAAATTTGATATATGCTTTCAGCTTTTCTAATGAGTTTCTTTTTCATGTTTTACTAACAGGAGCTGAATCTACTAAAGCCAGATGCAACTGTGTACAAAATGATAGGCCCTGTGTTAGTTAAACAGGACCTAGAAGAAGCGAAACAGACTGTCAGCAAACGAATAGAGTACATTACCGGTGAAATGTATGTATACACATTATTTTTAGTTGCACATGTAAACGAAACACTAAAGTTGGTGTCTTTACAGAATATCATTTTTAGCTCACCTTGACATCGTCAAGATGAGCTATTGCCATGGGTCGTCGTACGTCGTAGGTCCGTCTGTCCGTCAACATTTGGCTACGGTCAATGATAACTTGAGAACAGTTTGACCCACATGTTTCAAATTGCATACAGTTGTTACTCCTATGGGAGAGATGTGAACGTCCTATTTTGGAGCACGCCAGTCGACCTACTTTCGAGCCACGCCCACCTTTTGGAAAAAATGAAAATGGCCATCTAGATTCATTCGATTTTGTTAAATTTACCTACCTACCTACCTAATCATACCTATGTGTAATATTGTGTTTTATATTCTTCGTTACAGTAATTTGACTGGAATATTGTATTGTTATTATTTGCGCGATAATCGAAAACCAAAATGGCGATCATTTAGGCGTAGCGCCATCTCTCGCCTAGATTTCAGACTTCCAGATCTGAAACATTTATTTTCACATCAAAACTAACCCTGAAACAAAACAGTGAAATTTCTATTAGTATAAAACAGGGAATAAGGACATTTGATCACATTTCGGTCCGTCATAAATGAAACACTTACCAAATTTTAAATATCATCTCCCTCTTCTATCACACCCAAGGTGAGCTATAGTGTCATTGACACTTTCATTTAAGAACGTAAGCGAAATATTGTAATGCGTTTCTAAATAGATGATTTTTGGTTGAAGCTTGTAAATGGAATAATTTAGTGGTTTTTTCTGGATAGATTATTCTTTGTTAAGAATGTCAATGAAATTCTGAAATATTTTTCTGAGTATATTATTTTTTTGTTAAGCTATCAGCTTGTCTTTCATCTGCAGATTTATCAGCTGTTATAGTAATGCCTGGGATATCATTAAAGATGAGGATCTCCTGTCACTCGACATGACAGTATCTTAACTCTTCTTACCAGCAAAGTTTTTTTCTCTTACAGTAAACGAGTCGACACGACAACAAAAGAGTTAGAGAAGAAGCAGGAGAGCCACAGAGATACTCTATCCAAGCTTCAACAGCAGTTTCAACAGGCACAAGTTAAAGCAGCAATGAAATCTTAGTCACAGTTAGTTACATCTATCTTTGTTCTGTTATCTTTCTTCCTCTGCTACTGCTAATGAATATCTGTATAGATTTTGTTATAAAGTTTGTGAATCAGTCAACCAAATCATCAAAATTTTGATTTTTAAAAACTTCTGTTTTTACTTTAAAAAACTAATAGTATGATTCGTCTACAATAATAACATGTGAATTGTGATTGGTTTGATCTGCTGAGCATGTGGGTATTGAACATGTTTCACTCATGCATCAAATTGGTAGCAATAATATCAACTTTATTGAGGTGGATATCCAAAAAGCTTTTGATCCATTCCGGTGTGGCATGTCAGTATATGGAACCCTCTTTTTAAAAGGGATTAACATTATGAGTGTTATTAAAATAATGTTTTCAACTCACAAATATGTGTTTATACATCATTCATTAAATCTAGACCATGTTGCTGGTATTACTTAATACTTATGAACTTTTTCATATTAAAAAGAACAAACGTCATAATTTAGAACCTCTGTACACTGAGAAAAAACAGTAGCTCAGTGTGCGCTTTTCCCCAGATATTCATTCATATTTCTATCCTCCCTGTGGCCAGACTGTTTTCCCTGTATAATGGCAATATGCTAGCGCTTGTAGCTTGGCGGTCATTTATTCAACGTTGCCTGATATGTTAGATCTTGTTCAATCACAGCTGAACATGTGGTGGTTTTCTCACCTTTGTTGATGGCCTAGATTTCCTTTTGTTTCGCGATCCAAAGTTCAGCACAGTAGGTATTCATTGGCACACAAAAAACATCGTTATTCTTTGCAATCTCATACTTTTCCTCGTAACCAGTGAGAAGTATCGGAAGTGGTTAGCTGTAGGGTAATCATTGGCCATCATTACGTGCAGACGTCCTGTCGTATTTTTTTTATAGGAGTTGTAAAAAACGTACCTAGGTAGCCAGACACACTGTGTACGTAAACGTTTACACAAGATCATACGTTCCTGCAATCCACGATTGTTTGTTGAGCCAATATTCCAATGGGTGTGTATCTGTTGGATCACTTTTTTTTATTTTTCGAAGCTTGAATCCTGTGTGAAGCCGAAATATTTTTGGTCGTCATTAACGGCAATAATGAGTGTTTTATGTGTAATAATGGGTAAACGTTGCAGCTGATTGCAGACTAGCTCTCCTGAAACTATTCCATATATCTCACCAACAATATTTCCTAGCCATGCCGTGTAAGACATGTGGTTGCCCACCTTGTAGTTGCACACACCAGTATACGAAATGCATTGCAAATTTTACATTCGATTTATCATTGAAGCGGAAAACAGAATCTCCGCATAGCAATGTGTTATCGGCTGAAATGCAAGGTGTGACGCAAGCTCGCCACGGGAACGCACGTCGCACACGTCACGCCGCATACTCATTTGCATACTCTACTTGCGCCTGGCACCATATGGTACCGCCATCTTAACATCTATCCGCCCTCCTCACTGGTGACATGCGCGTCGTGTTGCTGTCTGCCATCTGTTACTTGCTGATCGCATTCGCTGAATTAAGGATCCGCACCTGCGTTTAGTCATGACTCTACCGCGCGGGTACACACACGACGTACGCGTTTTGCTCAGTGCGTACGTAGTTCCTTTGCGAGGCTATACTTTTTCGTTGCTTCCGTAGCTCGGACAGTCGAGTCTGCGCGTTCGTTTCTGCCCTGTTATATTCGTGAATTCGTATAGCTCAGACAGTCAGGCGTGTCTGTGCGTTCGTTTCTGCCCTGTTATATTCGGGAATTCGTATAGCTCAGACAGTCAGGCGTGTCTGTGCGTTCGTTTCTGCTGTGTTATATTCATGAACCCGTACCGCGGACAGTCGGGCGTGTCTGTGCGAAGCGGACGAACCAGTGACGACGCATTTTGTGTTGCGACGTGAGACAGAATAGAAGATGATATTCAAAATGATCGCAAGCGGTCGAACACTACGAGAAAGCATGTCGAAATCGCAGCGCGCGTCTCAGTGTCACCTCCCTCGTGTTACTCCCACACCAACCCTGCACAGAAGCTACGAAGCTCACGGCGTCACCAGGCGATCGCGTACCGCCGCGCCCCGACTTCTCTTCCTCGCGCTGCTCTGCGGAGGCATCGCAGCGAGCGCCCGCGCTCAGTGCAACAACGAGACGAGCTGCTACCCGCCGCTCGCGAACCTTCTCGGCGACCTGGCGCAATTCCCGCTGCGCTCGCTCAGCGTCAGCACGACGTGCGGCGACCCGAACCCCACCAACTACCAGACGCAGCTGAACGCGAGCGACGCGACGCTGCACACGTGCGACGCGACGCAGCCGCGCCCGGCCGCCAACATACACGACAGCAGCCGGCCCGTCGGCGGCTTCACCTTCACCGTGCCCGACCTGACGACGTACTGGCAGTCGCAGACGACCGTCATCGGCTCGAGCTTCCAGCCGCGCCAGGAGCTCGTCGCGCTCACGATGCGCGACCCGTTCTTTGTCGGCGTCGTCGAGGTCGTCTTCGTCGCGCCCGGTTACCCGGACGACGGCAGCGCGACGGTCGACGCGCGCCCCCTGGCGATGGCGATCGAGAAGCAGAGCCGAGCCGACGGGCCGTGGGTGCCGATGCGGTACTTCGCGGAGAACTGTCGGAGGTTCTTCCCGCAGGTTCCGCATGCTAGTGCGTTCAGTAACCCGCTGATCGCCGTCTGCACGAGCAAGTACTACAGCGGCGACATCTCCACGCAAGTTCCCGGCCGAACACAGCAGGTGCGCGCGCGGTGACCTCATTCATTTTACTATTTGCTGTTATATGTGTGGGTGTATGTATATATATATATATATATATATATATATATATATATATATATATATATATATAAGTCTGGATGTTTGAGTCTATACTGTCGGTAGAGTGCTCGATGCGTTAAGTTGCAGAGCGTAATAAATTGTAGTCTGTAGATAAATGAAAGACAAGACATCACTTTTAGCTGTTACTCCGATTTGAACGCTTACGCGATCATCACACAGACTTTAATGAAGAATAAACCTTATACACATACTATAACCTATATATACATGAATAATAGCGCTATACATAAGGCGCTATTGTTTTAGTTATCTATTGTTCTATAGTTCTATAGTTAAATTGATCTATTGTTCTGCTGGTCTATTGTTGTTCGGCTTTTGACTTATCTTTCTCTGTCGTGGGCTGTACGTGCGGCGGTAGTCGACGCTGTCCGGGGATGATCTGGCCGTCGTCCACTGTCAGACACGAGAGCAAGCCGTTGTCGACGCCGTTGTCCGTGGCAACGGTGGCCACCGCAGCGGCGGCGGCAGCTGTGACGTTGCTCGCTCATCGACCCCAGCGAGAAACGTCACAGCTGCCGCTGCCGCTGCGGTGGTTACCGTTGCCACGGACAACGGCGTCAACAACGGCTTGCTCTCGCGTCTGAAGGTGGACGACGGCCAGATCACCCCCGGACAGCGACGCACGGGGAGCGACGACCACCGCCGCACGTACAGCCACGACAGAGGAGCTGATGGGGAGAGTCACCCACGCGAGGTCGCGGGGACGTGGAAGGAGGTCACAGTACGGCAGCATCCTATCCGCGGCAGCGTCGGCTGCGGAGTGCTGTAAACTAACGCGTTTTCTCGCGCGACGCTTTTACACGCGACACTTTTACGCTCACGCAGTGCATATTGGTGTTAAGTTGCGGACGGGACGGGGGCTTAATGTGACGCTATTTACGGAGAGTAGGAGTGAATTTTCGTGGCACGGATACGATAGATGAAGTCCGTCTACTCGTTAGAGTCCCGGCCCCCCCCCACTCAGTGCTATTTAGGGTACGCATATGCTCGTTCTCTCCCTTTGAAAGCACCCCCTATCTCAGGACTGCCAAAATTTCTGAACCCCCCTTTCGCGGGCTTTTTGCGGGTTTTTCCTGCCTTGGAGAACCCCCTAAATCCCGAACACTACGTATAGACTGGTACCCGTTCGCCACCTTCACTCCGGTACGTATTCTTCGCTACACTGACGTAGTGACGTTAGTGTAGCGTGTGGAACTGTAGACCGGGTACCAGTCTACACTACGTAGGAACTAGGGAGCAATATTTTTATTTTTCAAACTGAATTAATCCTGAATGAGCTTTTAAAACTAGCAGGAATTTCAGGAATTTGATCCCGGGATTTGATAAAGTTTTTTATGATATTCAAGATGAAAGAGAGAGAAGAAAAACACCCCCTTTTTAAAGAAATCTCTGGGTGAAAAGTCAAATAAACCGCCTTTTTTACAATTCTTGGGCCGGATTTTGTCGTGCTAAAAATACCCCTTTACCCGAGATTTTGGGAACGCGCATGCGGTTCTTCCGACCTCGGAGTGGGGGGGACGGGGGTTAGAGTGTAGTTATGAGACCAGTGCTGACGAGTTCAGACAATGTTTGTACAAGTCATTTATATATATATATATCAGGAGTAGATAATAGGGAGGA